TGAGCTTTAAGCCTTGGTGAAGAGCTGAAGGAAGCAACTGCATATTTATGTCCTCTGTGATTAAAAAATAAAATAAAATAAATTGTGCACCAGGCAATACCACACAGCCCCAGAATGAACAGACTTGAACAGATTGAGGGACCATGGCATTGCAGCACCGGGGAGAGAAGGGTTAAACTGGAGGTAAATGCAGAATGCAAATCATGAAAAGACAACACCAGGTCTAGCATGAAAAGACAACACCAGGGAGAGTGCTTGGGCCTTGCCTGGTACAGGAACACTGGCATTAGCCATACAGATGAGAGCAGCTATACTATATGGGCAAAACAAACAAGATGAATTTTAACAGGGAGAAATGTAAAGTATTGCACTTGGGCAAAAAAAATCAGAGGCACAAATACAAGATGGGTGACACCTGGCTTGAGAGCAGTACATGTGAAAAGGATCTAGGAGTCTTGGTTGACCACAAACTGGACATGAGCCAACAGTGTGACGCGGCAGCTAAAAAAGCCAATGCAATTCTGGGCCTCATCAATAGGAGTATAGCATCCAGATCAAGGGAAGTAATAGTGCCACTGTATTCTGCTCTGGTCAGACCTCACCTGGAGTACTGTGTCCAGTTCTGGGCACCACAGTTCAAGAAGGACACTGACAAACTGGAACGTGTCCAGAGGAGGGCAACCAAAATGGTCAAAGGCCTTGAAACGATGCCTTATGAGGAACGGCTAAGGGAGCTGGGCATGTTTAGCCTGGAGAAGAGGAGGTTAAGGGGTGATATGATAGCCATGTTCAAATATATAAAAGGATGTCACAGAGAGGAGGGAGAAAGGTTGTTTTCTGCTGCTCCAGAGAAGCGGACACGGAGCAATGGATCCAAACTACAAGAAAGAAGATTCCACCTAAACATTAGGAAGAACTTCCTGACAGTAAGAGCTGTTCGACAGTGGAATTTGCTGCCAAGGAGTGTGGTGGAGTCTCCTTCTTTGGAGGTCTTTAAGCAGAGGCTTGACAACCATATGTCAGGAGTGCTCTGATGGTGTTTCCTGCTTGGCAGGGGGTTGGACTCGATGGCCCTTGTGGTCTCTTCCAACTCTATGATTCTATGATTCAAAACAATCCTACACACTCAGGAGGTCGAGGTCTGCGGTAGAACATCGGATGTACCCATAGCCTTGTCAGAAAGGGGATGGGGGTTGCCCCATACTGAGTCAGCCATTTTGAAATTTCCCCCTGCCACTGACACTAACTGGCAGAATAAAATCTATGCCAGTTACGGGCAAACATACATTTTCACCCCCCAGCCTGTGAGAGATGTAGTGATGTAACACGCGCCTATGGTTGTTCTAATCTAAGTTAATACAGTGCCAGGTAGATGCTAGTGAGGGGCTTGAGGACTTATATTAAAAGTGAAAGTGAAAAAGATCTATGGGCCTCTTTGAAGTGTCACCAAACATCTCCCTGAATGTTTTACCAAAATTCACCTCTTCCCCCAACCCCAAACTACAGTGATTCTCAAACTGCAGTCTGTTGAGTCCTAGAGGATATACTTTGACTTGGCTCCTTTGTTGTGATTGGTTGAATGTGAAATCAGAATAGAAAAAGAATATCTGGGCAAGGAGAACCATTCTTCAAATAGATGTTGAGCAGGTGTCTTCATATGTTACTTACAAAGACCGAACATTAAATGTGAGAAAGCCTTGTTGATATCACATTATTTTAGATTCAATTGAACCTGTAAATAAAGTGTTCTGGAGAAAAGTAGTAGTGTTTTGTTAAGGACATGTTTTATGAAATCAAGGTGGTAGGGAAATAGATTGGCTTTATGAAAACAGAGGGCACTTAATCCCCATAGTTTTATTGTCTGATATTATGCTTTGTTCTCCTATAAGATTATGACCATGGGCAGTTATTGCTGGCTGCATTCATTGCAGCAAGGCATTTTATGTTATATAATGTGGCATAATGCCAATTGAATTCGATTTTACTCCTGCATTAGCTATGGCCCACAACAGAATATACAATACTGAATGATATAAAATAATAAAATCCGTTTCATAAACATTGTCCCAATAAGTAAGGGAGGAAAAGGTGCTGATAAATTTATTTTCGTCATAGTCGTTGGGATGGCAATTCACATCATGGGAGTCAAGAACAGCAAGATAAGGTTTGCTGACTTTTAAAATATGCAGACATTTATTGCTTAATAATAAACGTTTCTTTACCAAGCAGAAACTCGGGAAGACATTTCGTAGAATCATAGTGTTGGGAGATACCACAAAGGTCATCTAGTTCAACCCTCTGCAATGCAGGAATCTTTTTTGCCCAATGTGAGGCTTCAACCGACGACCCTGAGATTAAGATACGCATGCTCTACCAACTGAGCTATCTCAGATTATCATGTGACTAGGACAGTTTTAAAGAGAATGTTCTAGAATCCCTTTCTCTTCAGTGGTGGAGCTTCATGCTCTGGCACCGGGGGCGGAGAGCAGGCGGGGGTGGGACTGGCGCGCAACCTGGGGGCGTGGTGGTCCGCCCAAAGGGGCGGGGCATGTGTCCTGGGGGTGGGGACGCTGCCCGCAGGCGTGTGGCACTCATTCTGGGGGCATGGCACGCCACCTGCGGGGGTGGGGCACCCAGCATGGGCGGGGGGCAGCCACGATGGAACCCCACAGGGATTTCGCCTGCTGGGGCAGTGCGTTCCACCCGCCCCCTCTTCCTCTGCCAGTGTTTCTCTTGCGCCACATAAATGGGCATGAGTACCACTGGCAAATTTTCCTTCTGCAACAGTAGTTGATATTTAATTAATTAATTAATTTCACATGAGAAAATAGCTAATTTGGGTGAAATACTCTTCTAAGCAATATCAATGCTTAAACATGGCAGACCATGCTATGCCAATTCTTTTACAACTGGGGTTATTTTTTTCTTCATTGTATCAATATATTGGCTTGGTAGAAGACTTAGGGCAGATGAGAGTACTTTTGTGAAGAAAGCAAAAGCAAGAAGCCTCTAAATGGATCTGCCTTTTGAACATTTTCTTCCAAACAGAACAGGATCCCTGGCTTCTTTGCGTGTGTTTCAGTGTTTCAGCAGCGGAATCAAGTTAAGACTAGATCTCCGAGATGACACCTTTCCTATATGTTTATATCAAACTCATTTTGTGAGTGCCGAACCTTGTGTAGCCAACACAGTAGCACCCATTCAGAAGAGGGAAGAGTCAGCAGGCTTGGGGAAACTCCAGTATCTCCAGAGGTACAACAAACCATTAGAAGAAAACTCTAAAGTGTGGGGGGGCAGACATCTCAGTAAGCATTGGGCATGCCTAATGAACACACAAGGGACACGGGTGGCGCTATGGTCTAAACCACTGAGCCTCTTGGGCTTGCCGATCAGAAGGTCAGTGGTTCAAATCCCCATGACGGGGTGAGCTACCATTGTTCAGTCCCTGCTCCTGCCCACCTAGCAGTTCAAAAGCATGTCAAAGTGCAAGTAGATAAATAGGTTCCGGTGAGAAGGTAAACGGTGTTTCTGTGCACTGCTCTGGTTCGCCAGAAGCGGCTTAGTCATGCTGGCCACATGACCCAGAAGCTGTCTGTGGACAAACGCTGGCTCCCTCAGCCAGTAAAGCGAGATGAGTGCCACAACCCCAGAGTTGTCCGCGACTGGACTTAAAGGTCAGGGGTCCTTTACCTTTACCTCTATTTTTAATGAACACGAAACACTGATTGTGGCAGGGGAGTGAGTGGAATGGGGTACCTAGATGTTATGTATTGGGTTTAACACTTTTTATGTTACAAGGTGTGTTCTAACCAATCGTATAAGCATTGGTAGACGAACGTTCTAATGGCAAGTAAGCGCATGTACTTTCAACTGTCAACTGTCAACCGTCAGTTCTTGTTGGGGCTTTTATTGTGTAGTACTGTGAGTTCGGGTTTTGTTTTCCTTTGAGTGAGCCGTTGTCACTGAAAATGTTGAATTAACGTAGTTGAGAAACTTATACTGCCCTGGGCTTCTGACTTTTTCTGAACATTTAACATTGGCGATGAGGATGGGATACATGAGCTCCCACTGGCTACCAGAGGCACAAGACTGCACCGCAGTACTGCTGCCTGCCGCCTCGCAGTAAGCCTGTACAACAGACCCCCCAATTTCCCTACGGCTCAACCCCACAGTGCAACCCATTCGAGTTAAGGCCCGTAGAGTCCCGTTTGCACTTAAACCCAGGATCATAGAGGAGCTTGATCAATTAGTTACCCAAGGGGTCTTAGAGCTGGTAGCTTCGGGGACCTGGGAAACCCCAATTGTCACACCAGTTAAGCTGGACAGCTCAGTCTGTATCTGTGGCGATTACAAATGCACCCTGAACCGGGCCTTACAGGACCACGCATACCTGGTTCCTGTGGTGAGCCACATGTTACCAACCCTGGCTGGAGCCAAGTTCTTTGGGAAGCTGGATTTAGCACAGGCTTATCAGCAGCTAACCGTTGACGAGGCCACCGTAGATGCTCAGACAATCGTGACTCATAGGGGTGCTTTCAGGGTCAAACGCCTACAGTTTGGAGTTAGCGTGGCCCCAGGGTTATTTCAGAGCCTAATGGACCAACTCCTTAAAGGCATCTCTGGAGTCACGCCATTTTTCGATGATGTGCTGATCGCCACATCGTCGAGAGAGGACTTTGCTGCCAGATTACAGATAGTGCTCCAACGCTTCTAGGCAGCAGGACAGCAGGCAGCAGGACAGGTAAAACAGAAAAAGTGCCTGTTAGGAGTGAGCAGTGTGGATTTCCTGGGGTTGTGGGTTGACGCGGACGGCCTCCATCCAGCAGAGGACAAAGTGTGCACCATTTGTGATGCCCCAGACCCAAAGGGCAAGGCAGAGTTACAAGCCTTCTTGGGACTTCTTAATTTTTACCATGCATTCCTGCCACACAAGGCAGCTGTAGCTGAGCCTTTGCACACGCTCCTGGACACAAAGTGTTGTGGGTCTGGGGACCTCGACAGGTCAAGGCATTCCAAGGGGTCAAAGACTTGCTTGTGTCCAACACAGTGTTGGCCACACTTCGATGAAAAGCTTCCAGTGGTGCTGGCTTGCGACGCTTCCCCTTATGGAGTGGGCGCAGTACTGGGCCACCAGCTTCCGGACGGGAGGGAAGTTCCAGTGGCTTACTTCTGCCAAAATCTCACGTCGGCGGAGCACAACTACTCCCAGATCAACAAGGAGGGTTTGGCAATAGTTAAGGGAGTCAAAAAGTTTCACGACTTCCTTTATGGCCGGCCTTTCACTATCATTACCGACCATAAGCTACTCCTGGGACTCTTTGTACCCGACCGCCAGACGCCCCAGATGCTTTCACCACGAGTATCGTGCTGGTCCATTTTCCTGGCTGGTTACCAATACTGGCTACAGCACCGACCCAGGAAAGCCATGGGTCATGCAGATGTACTCAGCTGCTTGCCGCTGTCGGAGAGTGGCCCTTACCCAGCTCCTGCCCTACAGATCCTGCGACTGGAAGACTTACCGGACTAGCCCTTGCATGCGAAGGACATTGCTGCCGCCACCGCGAAGGATAGGCTGTTGTCGCGCATCTTGGTCTGGGTGGGGAGGGAGTGGCCCGGGAAGCCGGGTCCAGAATTTTCATGCTACACAGCCCGCAAGGATGAGCTGTCTACTCACCGAGGATGCGTGTTATGGGGTAGCCATGTTATAGTCTCTCTCCCCCCCCCCCCGATTAAGAAAAAAAGTCTTATAAGGGCTGCACATGTCTCACCTGGGGATCGTCTGGATGAAGGAATTGGCCCGTAGCGATTTGTAGTGGCCAGGCATAGATGCAGAGATAGAGGGCTGGGTGAAATGTTGTGAGCCCTGCCACATCTCCTGGCTGGATCCACCCAACGTACCAGTACAGTCCTGGGAGTCCACTCACTCCCCATGGTCCCGGGTGCACGTGGATTTCACAGGGTCTTTTCACAGCCAACACTTCCTAATAGTGGTTGACTCTCAGTCCAAGTGGCTCGAGGTGGTGCCGACCTCAACTGTGTCCGCTAGAGTGACTACAAACGTGCTCAGGAAGCTATTCGCAGCACACAGCTTGCCAGACACACTGGTGAGTGATAATGGGACAGCTTTTACTTCGGCGGAATTCAAAGAATTTGTAACCAAGAATGGAATCTGCCACATTCATTCCGCTCCTTTTCACCCAGCCACTAACGGCCAAGCTAAACGCATGATCCTTACTACCAATGATGCGCTTAGGCGCATAGTGCATGGAGATTGGACTCTCCGGCTAGCGGAGTTCTTATTGGCCCAACACATCACCCCAAGCGCAGTGACCAGCCTGGAGGAGTTACTTATGGGGAGGAGGCTCACTACCCTCCTTGATCGTATGCACCCTGACCAGGCTCTTGAGCAACGGCCATCCACTGTGGTGTGGGGGGCTCCAAGAGGGATCTCCCCGGGGGACACTGTGTACATCTGAAACGATGGGCCCGGACAGGGTTGGGTCCCTGGTATCATTGCCCACTGTACAGGTCTGGTTTCCTACAAGGTAGGGTTGGAGGGGGGACTGGTTTGGAAGAGACACCTCAACCAGATCAGAGCCAGGGCACCTCTGAACACGGAACTTCAAGCGGAACCAGAGGACAGAGAAATGGGTACTTCAGGAGATTCTGTGCTCAGGCCAGGGTGGGAACCAGATGGGTTGCTGGTGACTAAGTTACCCCAGCAGGGTGACTTCAGGCCAGAATCCTCAGCGGCTCCATTGGCAGTGACCCCTTCAGAGCTGGCCTCGCAGATCGCCCCACTCAGACCGCGGGTACTGGAGGAACCTCCTGTTTCACCCACTCGGGCACAGGAACAGCGACAGTCCAAGTGGGAGTGGAAAAGGCTGGCACACCTTGATGACTATGTTTGTTCCTTTTGTTAGGGAGTTGGGGGGAGTAGTGTTATGTATTGGGTTTAAGACATTTTATGTTACAAGACACGTTCTAACTAATCGTATATGCATTGGTAGACGAACGTTCTAATGGCAAGTATGCGCATGTACTTTCAACTGTCAACGGTCAGTTCATGCTCGGGTTTATTATTGTGTTGTCCAGTCAGTTTGGTTCTTGTGTTCCTATGAGTGAGCTGTTGTCACTGACAAATGTTGAATAAACTTAGTTGAGGAACTTATACTGCCTTGGGCTTCTGACTTTTTCCAAACGTTTAACACAAGGTAAGAAAGGGCAAGTGAAAATCTACACTGGGAATAAGGGGGAGGAGGGGTCAAATCAAAGTTACTTGACTGTTGAAGTTGAAATCAAAGGTTATCACTGGAGGGAAGGGGCACACTCAAATTACACCAGGTGGGTGCAGCTCCCAGGAGACCCCAGAGGGCAGCCCCACCATTTCTTCTCTAGGAGTGGGAGGACATTAGCAGCACCTCCTATTTGCCTTTGGATACAATGGAGTTGCCTGGATGGTCTTGGGAAGTGATGCTTCCACACTGCTCCTTGGTGGTTGCAGGCTGCTTGATCTCCAGCCTCCAACAACCTTTATCTCTCACATCACTGTTCTCTTCAGTCTTCACTGCAGCCTCTCCAAGAACTTGAGCATAATCTGTCATTGCCGCCACAAACTCACCACAGTGGTGCCCCTCTCCATGGCTGAATGTTGTTCCTCTCCTTCACTGCCCCCACCTGTTAGTCTCCCAGCATTCCAGTTCCCTTAGCAACAGTTGCCAAGACTGCACAAAACCCTCAGCACTCACAATACTTCTTATGACCTGGTTCCCCCCCCCCCCATCCAACTGGCCTTACGGATCATATTAAAACAACAGCAAGAACATTAAGCAACCTAACTGAAGCACGTGACTAGATGCATCTTCTGCCACAAAAGCGAAGGAGAAAATGTGTCTCAGGAGCATCCGTGTGTCCTCACAGGTGCAAATTGGGAGTTGGGCGGCTGAATGGACAATTTAACACCTTATTCAGGCTTCTATTAGCCTTTCCCCTCCTCTAAGTGGGTGAAACACTTTCACAGAAACCGAGAAAATCAAACCCATGTGTATTTGGATGTTTTGCTTACAAGTGATGTAATTTTAGAGAGGATTGTATTCCCAAGGCCTGGGCTCACTTCCTACAACATATAGGAATATACTGCAAGAAAAGAAAAAGAAAAAAGTGAAGAGAGTAGATATCTGTCCTGTTTCAATGAATCATTCAATGTAGTGCATCTTGGGAGAAGTCCATTAGTTTCTGGATTTAAGATTAAATCCAAACTCTGTACCCAAACTGGCTTGTCACTCCAGCTGACAATTCTTTAACCAGCAACATTTGGCAGAACAAAAATAATCTAACACTGAATGTCCCCCGATTCAGAGACTAGTTAATGCCAGACATATGGGAGAATCCCTATTTGGAGACATTGTCTTTGGAGCTTCCTGTTTGGAGGCTGGAGAAGGAGGGTGTCCCCAGGCCTAGGTTAAAGCCTCATGGTCCCCACGCCAGGGTCTGCAGCCTAGCCCCACCCACCCGCCAAGTCTGCTGTCAAGGAACTGACATCGGAGCTAGAGGTGGAGGGAAGGCTCTCCAATGATGCTGGAGAAGGGCCCAGCAGGGAGAGAGGCAGCTCAGCAGATGGGGAAGCAATTCAGTGCAACACCAGGAATAAGGAGGGGCAGATGGGGAATCGGCGAGAGGGCTCCCAGACTCTTCACCGGACACCAGCGGGGAGAGCACTGGTCCTCCGCTACCCACGCCCTCCCTGCGCAGAAGACTTCCGCGCAGAGAAAGTAGGAGGAGACTGGGTGTCAAACAACTTTTATGTTGGAAAGGGTTTAAGAAACGCCCACTGACGGATTCTGCTAGCGACTGAGGCAGCCACGAATTGAAGGGCTGTCCAGACAGAAAGGTTTAACAAGGCAACATAGCCAGGAGAGGCGGCAACTTACGAACGAGCAACCCCATACCATTATATCTGCAATACACTTTGAAAAAGCCACTCACAAATTTGCTAATTGTTTTTTTTATAAGATATTTATTAAAATTTCAGAAATAAAGAAAGAAGTTACAATAGTAATAATAAGAAAAAGAAAAAAAGAGAATAAAAAAAAGAAAAAAGAGAGTACAAAATACAAAAAAGTAAAAACAATTAAAAACAAATCAATCTTTCCATATCTTGTCTTTCAATCACTTGTTTCCCTGACCTCCTCACACCTCCCCTTTTTGTATTCCAGTTCAGTAAGTTAATTCAGCAAATCCTTTCCCTCTTTGTTTTTATCTTAAACCTTTGTCTTAATATGTAATAACTATATATTCTCATCTGTTAACAGTCCTTTTTTACATACTCCTTATAACATTGCTGCTAAAAACCCTTAGCTTCATTCCAACATCATTCTAACATTCATTAATTTTACAGTATTTCTGTAGATAGTCTTTAAATTTCTTCCAGTCTTCTTCCACCGACTCTTCTCCCTGGTCTCGGATTCCGCCAGTCATTTCCACCAGTTCCATATAGTCCATCACCTTCATCTGCCATTCTTCCAGGGTGGGTAGATCTTGTGTCTTCCAGTACTTTGCAATAAGAATTCTTGCTGCTGTTGTGGCATACATAAAGAAAATTCTATCCTTCTTTGGCACCAATTGGCCGACAATGCCCAGGAGAAAGGCCTCTGGTTTCTTCAGGAAGGTATATTTAAATACCTTTTTCATTTCATTATAGATCATCTCCCAGAAAGCCTTAATCCTTGGGCACGTCCACCAAAGGTGAAAGAATGTACCTTCAGTTTCTTTGCATTTCCAACATTTATTATCGGGCAAATGATAAATTTTTGCAAGCTTGACTGGGGTCATGTACCACCTGTATATCATTTTCATAATATTCTCTCTTAAGGCATTACATGCCGTGAACTTCATACCTGTGGTCCATAACTGTTCCCAGTCAGCCATCATAATGTTATGTCCAACATCTTGTGCCCATTTAATCATAGCAGATTTCACTGTTTCATCTTGAGTATTCCATTTCAACAGCAAGTTATACATTCTTGACAAATTCTTAACTTTAGGTTCTAACAGTTCTGTTTCCAGTTTTGATTTTTCCACCTGGAAGCCAATTTTCTTGTCCAAATTGTATGCCTCCATTATTTGATAATAGTGAAGCCAATCTCGCACTTTATTTTTTAATTTTTCAAAGCTCTGCAATTTCAATTTATCTCCCTCTTGTTCCAGAATTTCCCAATATTTCGGCCATTTGGCCTCCATATTGAGCTTTTTCTGGGCCTTCGCTTCCATTGGTGACAGCCACCTTGGAGTTTTATTTTCAAGTAGATCCTTATATCTTATCCAGACATTAAACAATGCTTTCCTGACAATATGGTTTTTAAATGCTTTATGTGCTTTGACCTTATCATACCACAAATATGCATGCCACCCAAATACATTGTTAAAACCTTCTAAATCCAAAATGTCTGTGTTTTCAAGAAGCAGCCATTCTCTCAGCCAACAAAATGCGGCTGATTCATAATAAAGTTTAAGGTCTGGCAGGGCAAATCCACCTCTTCCTTTTGCATCCGTTAGTATTTTAAATTTTATTCTGGGCTTCTTGCCCTGCCAGACAAATCTGGAAATATCTCTCTGCCACTTCTTGAAACAGTCCATTTTGTCCAAAATTTGCAGTGTTTGGAACAAAAACAACATTCTTGGCAATACATTCATCTTTATCACAGCGATACGGCCTAGCAGTGAAAGCTTCAAATTTGACCATATTTCTAAGTCTTTTTTCACTTCAGTCCAACATTTTTCATAGTTATCCTTAAATAAATTCACATTTTTAGCAGTCATGTTAACCCCCAAATATTTCACTTTCTTAACCAGTGTTAATCCTGTCTCCTTCTGAAACCTTTCTCTCTCAATCACTGTTAAATTTTTCTCTAAAACCTTAGTTTTTAACTTATTCAACTTAAATCCTGCAACCTGACCAAATTCTTGAATCAGTTCTATTACTCTTTTAGTACTAGATTCTGGCTCCTGTAATGTCAATACTAAGTCATCTGCAAATGCTTTCAATTTATACTGTTTGGCTCCGACTTGTATACCTTTAACCAATTGGTCCCTTCTAATCATATTTAAAAGAACCTCCAGGACCGATATAAAAAGCAATGGGGAAATTGGGCAACCTTGTCGTGTCCCTTTCTCTATCTTAAATTCCTCCATCACCACATTGTTAACAATTAGTTTGGCCTTTTGTTCAGAATATATTGCACTTATACCATTTCCAAAACCTTGACCAACCCCCATCCCCTGTAGGTTCTTCTTCATAAAACTCCAGGAAATGTTGTCAAAAGCTTTCTCCGCGTCCACAAATATCAAAACTGCCTTGGTATTAATATTCACTTGTAATTTCTCCAAAATGTTAATTATGTTTCTCGTATTATCAGACAAGTGTCTGCCAGGGAGAAAGCCTGCTTGATCTTTATGTATCTCTTCCTCTAATACTTTTTTTAATCTTTTAGCCAAAATATCTGCAAAAATTTTATAATCCACATTAAGCAGAGATATGGGCAGTAATTCTTAAGCTGTGTCTTTTCAGACTCAATTTTCGGTATAAGTGTGATGTACGCCTCCTTCCACGACTCTGGTGCTTTTTTCCCTTCCAAAATTTCATTACAGACTTCCTTTAGTGGTTGTATTATCCAACTTTTCAGAGATCTATAGTATCTTGAAGTTAAACCATCCGGTCCTGGAGATTTACCCAGTTGCATATTCTGGATGGCACCTTCTACCTCCTGTACAGTTATTTTGTAATTCAACATTAGCTTGTTTTCTTGAGAGATTTTTTGTAGTCCATTTATTTTCAAAAATCGATCTATGTTGATTTCTTTCTGTGGCCCTTGTGTATATAGTTGTTTAAAGTACCTCTGGAAACCATTTCTAATCTCCACTGGGTTGCTAATTGTTTGAAGGGTGCCACAGGTAGTTTGGCCCTCAGAGGAAGGGCATGCTTACTGCTTTAACTCACAGTCAAAGGAAGAAACATGGATACTGCACCGTGGTGTGAACTGCAGCAGAAACGGAGGCAAAAAAGGAGGTAAACAAGCTGAACAAAAGGAGCTCCCAAGAAACCTTCTGCTGCCTTTTCATGTCAAAATTTGCTCATTTTAGAACACTCAGGTCAGCCCTAGTTGGTCGCAGCCTTTTGCCTAAAGTGAAATGCAAAGAAAATTAGGAGATTCCTACTTGAACTAAATATCTTCCGGAGGTGGCGCCAGCGGTTAATGGCGGATTTCCTCGATCGGAGGAAATCGCACCACGAAAAAATAGGGTCGGATCCCGCTTCGGCGCAGCGGGGGACCCTGAAAATCACAGGCGGGGGAAGCCTGTGAACCTGGGACCCAGCGGGCACATTTAGCGCCCCCCCCCAACCTGGTAAAGAGCCCGGCAACGGGCTCGGAATCGGAGCGGGGGAAGGAGCGCTGTGCTGTGGGCTGTCTGCTTCTTTCGTGGAGTGAAGCCGCAAGCTGTAACCGGAGAGCGCTGCCTTTTTTCCTTGGAAATTCGACTTGAAAATCAACGATCCGTGAGTAGGATTTAATGCAATTGGAACTGTACAAACTGAGAATTTGGCCAAAAGCGGAGAGGTATAAAAGGAAGTCTGCCTCTCCCTATTGTAGATAGAACAAAGCATTGAACTTGAAAGCGGAAGCTTAGAAAAAGACGTATTAACGGACTTTAACCCAATCATCTAACCTGGACTTTCCCCCCCTTAATTCGAGGGAAAAGGGGGGACTGTGGATGTTATTTCTTCATGAAGAAGTGAAAAATAAAGGAGATTAAACCATCGCTCAATTCCTTGGGAACGGATTCCCAGAGGCAATTTAAAAATGGATGAGAGGTACTGTCTTTAAATATACTTTGACAGTTAGTCCTGCACAGGAAATACAATTTTGATACAATATTGTGGATAAACATCTTCTGGTCTTAAAGTAACTGTTTTAGATAGATTGTTATCTTCCTGACAAACTGGGGGGATTTAAAAAAGAAGTAAAGTACTTAAGAACTTTTTTGACTGTTACAGTGTCCCCCTAGTGGAACTTGGAACTGTTACAAATAGTTACAAATTGAAACAGCAGCTGGCCTGAGGATTTCTCACACGGCTCTGTTGGAACTTTCCACTTCAAAACAAGTCTGAATTTAATTGTGTGACCGACCTTGAGCTTTATCTAAAGGGGAATGGCAGATGGGAAAGAGAAACTGGAAGCGTCACAGGCAACAAGGTCAGGCAAAGTTTTGCGAATAGAAGGTGGATTACAAAGGAGACCTTCGACCTCTGGCCCCTCTGGGATTCCAACAGCAGCTCCA